GAGCGCCTGGCCAATCTGGAGGCGCAGCTGGCGGCGCTGTCCGCCAGTGCAGGCGATGGCGACGGCGCCGGGAAGAAGCAGGGTCCTCCAGGCAGCAGCGATGCCCAGATTCTGAAGAAGGTGTCCACGAGGCTTCAGGACTTCGAGGCTCAGCTCACTGCCCAGCTGAGCAACATGCAGAGCGACTTCGACAAGAAGCTTTCGCACGTGAGCCGCGGAGCATCCTCCATGAAGCCGTTGGACGCTGCTGGGCCGTCCGCGGGGCTCGATACCATGGCGGAGGACCTGGACCAGCTCAAATTTGACGTGGGTGAGCTCAAGGATCTCCTGAACAACAACAAAGGCGAGGTGAATCACGTTCGCCGCATTGTGCTTGCATGCGAGCGCGATATGGAGGACTTCACCGCTGCAATGGACGCGGTCAACGTCGACCTCGACGAGATGCGTGCGCGGGTGGACGCCACGCACTCCATCATCACAAGCCGACAGCGCGTGGAGGCCACGATGACCGCTGAAATCTCCACCATGCGGCTCGACATCGGGGACATCCAGGAGGCCCTTAAGAATCACGACTCGTGGATGGAGGATGTCTCTAACACCCTGCAGCAGATGCAGGAGAAGGAGGAGAACCTGACGGAGGACATCATCAACCTGAAGAACGAGATGAACACCAAGCTGGACACCAAGGTGGACAACGTGGCCTGGAAAGAGGCCAACGACGACCTGGACGCGGCCGTCAAGACAGTGAGGGACATGGTTTCCTCCCTGCGGCTGGACGTGGATGCGCGCCGTCGGAAGGTGGACGAGATCCTGGCAACAATCAGGCACGACGTCACTGCCGTCGAGACCAACCTGGAGGAGTCCAAGGCGAAGATCACGAGCGACACCGACCAGGCCGTGAACGCGCTGAACGGCAGGATCGACTTCACCAACAAGGACCTGGCGGCCACGCAGGAGAGCCTGCACACCACGCAGAACTCGCTCAGCGACTGCTTCAACGAGGTGGCCGTGGTCAGGAGCGACCTCGAGCGGAACGTGGCCGACACCGAGGCCCGCCTCAAGAACGACGTGCGCCAGAAGCAGCAGGAGGCGTTCGAGAAGATCGCGGCGGTGGAGCAGCAGGCCGAGCTCCGCAGCGCGGAGGCCTCGCGGCGCCTGGGCGCGCTGGACCTGCGCATGAGCGGCGTGCAGGGCGGCCTCGGCGAGCACAAGCGCGACATCCTGAAGCTGCGCGAGGAGGTGAACGGCCTCACGGTGAAGAGCGCGTCCCACGAGGTGGACATCCAGAAGAACAGCGACGCCATGCGCAAGATGGAGAAGCAGCGCAACATGGACGAGCAGAACTGGAAGGCCCAGATGGACGCCGTCCACGACGTCCTCGACACCAAGGTGAACGAGAAGCCGTTCGAGGACCTGAAGCACTGCACCGCCTCTCTCACGAAGGGCGTGGTCAAGTTCGCCCAGGTCGTCGGCGTCTTCCCCGGCCCCAAGTTCGACGACGCCGAGGGCGGCGACCAGGGCGAGGCGGACGTAGAACTGCTGGGCTGGGAGGAGTGCGCGGAGAACATGTCCTTCCGCGTGGACAAGGCGTGGCGTCAGAGGTGCTCGCAGCGCTTCCGCAACGTGCTGGACATGGTTGCCAAGAAGGCGGACCACAGCGTCCTGCGGCTGTTGCAGATCTCCCAGCAGCACATCGAATCGCAGCTGGAGCGCGTCAAGCACGAGCGCGAGCTCTGGAAGGAGGCGGGGCGGAGGGGCCGCAAGCGGGCCCAAAGACGGCCCAGGAGAGGGATGATGGGCGGGAGGGTGAGCGGAAGAAAGGGGGGCTCCCTCCTTGCTCACCTCTTCCTGCCTTCCCCCTTCCTTCCTGCTCCCCCTCTCTCTTGCCGCCGCTCCTTCCCTGTCCCCCTGCCCCTCCCCCCCTCTTCCTGATGTGAGGAAGGTTGTGGAGGAAACAGTCGAGCTGCTTCCGACCTGCATGCTTGTTTTCAACATGTTCTTCGTGTGTGGCCCAGGCCCCACTTGCGCCCCACGGTGGAAGTCTGACCGCGATCGGCTCCATCGAAGCGCATCCCACCCCAGCCCTCCCCCGCTCTCGCTGCCCGCCCGCCGCTCCCCTACCTTCCTGGGGGTCGACGATGAATAGTGTCTGGAGGAGGAGGAGGAGGAGGAGGAGGGAGAGGAGGAGGAGGAGGAGGAGGAGGAGGAGGAGGAGGAGGAGGAGGAGGAGGAGGAGGAGGAGGAGGAGGAGGGGGAGGAGGGAGGAGGAGGAGGAGGAGGAGGAGGAGGAGGAGGAGGAGGGCGCCCAGGTGGTGGAGCGCCGGCAGCAGCAGCCGATGCAGCTCGCGCTGGGCGCCAAGGAGGCCGCAGCGGGCGGCGCCGGGCCCCCGAGCGCCCGAGCGCTGCGCGCCTGAGCCGCGGCGGGCGGCGGCGGGCGCCAGGGGCGGGCGGCGGGCGCAAGAGGCGGCCCGTCGCCCCAGCGCCCACGGGGGCGCCCCGAGCGGCGGCGGGCTCGGCGCCGCCCGCGCGCCCGTCGCGGGCGGCCGCCGCCGCCGTCCTTTCCTTGGTCCGCTCGGGATCCGGCCGAAAGCTGGCCGGATGCCGGCGGTCGCTTCATCGCCGCCCGCGGCCGACGAGGCCGCGGGCGGTGGGTCAATGTGCCGCCGTCGGCCCCTGGTGCAGGCCGAGGGGGCGGATCGCGGTCGGTGCCCTGCCCGAAGGCGGGGCAGCAAGCGGCAGCTCCCCCAGAAAGGGCTGCTCTGGAGGAGGATCGAGGAGGATCGAGGAGGAGGAGGAGGATGAGGAAGAGGAGGAGGCGGATGAGGAGGATGAGGAGGATCGAGGACCCCTCGCGTCGTGAACATCATAGCGTTTTTTTCTGTGAACCTGTTTTTTTATGTCTTTGTGGGCGTTTTTGGTTTTGGTGTGTTTGGTTGTGTCGGTGTTTTTTCCATGTTCGCACACATATATACATCATGTCTGTTGTTTGTGGTTGTTGCCATTGTTGTTACTGTTGTTGTTGTTGTCGTTGTTGTTGTTGTTGTTGCTGCGGTTGTTGTGTTTGTTGCTGTTGTTATTATCGCTACTTTATGTTGTTGTTAGTATTATTAATATCATTATTATTATTGCTATTGCTGTTTTGGTTGTTGTTTTAGTTGCCTGTTGTTGTGGGATGGTTCTAGATTGTTGCTTTCCAGTTTCCTCATATTTTGTTTGCATAGCTACTGTGATTTCGATGTCATTCGGGTTTTGTCATGTGATCGTTTTTTGGTGTGTGTGTGGTCTTTTGTTGTTGTTCTAGTTGTTGTTGTTACTGATCGTTTCGTTGTTGTAGTTTTTTTCATTCAGTGTTTGTTGCCGTGTCAGTCTTGTGTGTGTGTGTTTGAGTGTTTTGCGTGCTTTCCTTCGGTTGCCAGCTTTATTTGTCAGTTTTATGGTTTTGTGGTTGTTGTTGTGCTTGTTTCGTTGTAGTATGTTTGTTTGTCTGTTGGTTTCTTTGTTTGTTTGTTTGTTTGTTTGTTTGTTTGTTTTTTTGTTTGTTCGTTGTCGTTGTCATTGTCGTTGTCGTTGTCGTTGTCGTTGTTGTTGTCGTTGTCGTTGTCGCTGTCGTTGTCGTTGTCGTAGTAGTTGTAGTTGTTGTTATTCGTATTCTGATTCTTGTCGTTAGATTCTCAGGCCTGAAGGACAATTGCTGTTGATACCCCGCTATGGTCACCATTATATTTTTCAAGTAGAGTGCTTCTCCTGGGGCTCGCACCCTGTTGTATACAAGCGCAATTGGGGTGTCACCAAACTGGGCCCCTTGCTCCCGATTTACACCAACAAAGGATCCCGCTTGATAAGTCCTTACAATTTATTCCCAAATCGCGCTCTCGCGCGGGACTTCCTTACGATTTGTACAGGGAAGTCTTCGTAATTTATCCAGACGCCGCGCCTTCGACACTCAATACTGACGCTCTCGCTGTGGATTTCCTTACGATTCATGTGGAAATTGTTGCATCCCTCGAGAATTCCTCGCGATTCATGCAGGACGCACGCTTCAGCAACCCGCCTGCCCCTTGTCCCTTCCTTACATCTGTTTTTTATTCTCCTCCCTCAGGGGCTGCACGAAATACACCTTGCAGGTAAGAAAGATACACCCCTAAGGGGGCACGATGTAGTGAGGGTATGGGGTATACGTGTTGAATGGCACGCGAGCAGATAAGAACGATCAGTCTAAAAATGATGGTTGCTGTTGTGGTTGTTGTTTTTTTTCACTTGATGTACCCTTCCCAGGGCTCGCACCCTTTCTTACAAGGGAAATGGAGGTGTCACCAACCTGGGCCCCTGACCCCCGGTTGAAAACAAGAGCGGCTCCCGCCTTGTACTTCCTCGCAGTTTACTCCAAAATCGCGCTCTCGCGCGGGACTTCCTCACAAGTTATGACGGAATCGCGCTCTCGCGTGAGACGCCGCGCCTTCGACACTCAGGAATCACGCTCTCGCCGTGGATTTCGCATGACTTATGTGGGAATGGCGTTATCGCTTGAGACTGCCTCGCGTTTCATGCAGGACGCACGCTTCAGCAACCCGCCTGCCCCTTGTCCCTTCCTTCCATCCGTCCTGTCTTCCCCTGCCTTAGAGGCTGCACGAAATACACGTTGCAGGTAAGACAGATGTACCCCCAGTGGAATACGATGCAAGACGAGGGGGCGGGTATCGAGTGTTTGGGATATACGGGTCGAGTGGCAGGCGAGCAAATAAGAGCGAACAGTTTTCAACTGATTGTTGTTGTTGTTGTTGTTGTTGCTGTTGATGCCTCATTTCCCCCCCTCCGGGGCACACGGTGTTTCTCAATTGAAGTGCCCTTCCTGGGACTCGCACCCAGTTTTTTATCAGGGAGAGTCTTGGGTCTCAGAATTGGGTTGTTGGCCCTTGGTTTACAGCAACAGCGGCTCCCGCCTGATACGTCCTCACAGCTTCTCGAGGAATCGCGCTTTCGCGCGGAAATTCTTCACAATTTAAGTACGAATCGCGCTCTCGCGTGGGGCTTCCTCGCAATTTGTTCAGACGATGCGCCCTCGGCGCTCAGGAATCACGCTCTCGCTTTGGCCTTTTTTCACGATTTACTTGGGAATCGCGCTATCGATCGATTCATGCAGGACCTCACACCTCAGCAACCCGCCTGCTCGACCTGGTCGCCTGGGCCCGCCTTCCCGACCCGCCCGCTATGGGTCTGCCCACCCGATCTGCCCGTCTGGTTATACTATTTGTTGTCTGCACCTTGCCCCCATCCTGCTAATTTCTCTCGTGCTACATCCTTCTCCCTCCCCTTTCCACCCGTCATCTCTTCCCCTGTTTCAGGGGCTGCAATAAGTGCTCGTGGCAGGTAAGGAAGATATACCCCCAAGGGAGTACGACCGAAGACGAAGAGGGCGGGTGCCGAGGGTTCGGGATATGCGTATTGGATGGCACGTGAGCAGATCGGAGCGAACAGCCTTAACCTTATTATTAAAGTTGTTGTTGCTGCTGTTTTTTCTTGGATTGTCATTTCTGAAGAATAAGTGTTGTTGATCCCCCCTGCCTGGTAATCATTGTAGTTTTTTAAGTGAGGTGTTTCTCCTGGGGTTCGCACCTTATCTTCTATCAGGGGAAGCCTGGAGACTCAAACTGCGCCCCCGGCTGGCCCACGAGTTACATCAACAACGGCTCCCGCTTGATACTCCCTCACAAGTTATTCTGAAATCAAGCTCTCGCGCAGGACGTCTTCCCAATGTATGCAGGAATCGCGCTCTCGTGTGGGACTTCCCCGCCATTCATTCAGACGCCCCCGCAATTTATTCAGACGCCGCGCCTTCGACACTCAGGAATCACGCTCTCGCTGTGGATTTCCTGCCGGTTTACTCGGGAATCGCGCTATCGCTCGAGACCTCCCCGCGATTAATGCAGGACGCATGCTTGAGCAACCCGCCTGCTCGACCTGGCCGCCTTGGCCCGCTTTCCCGACCCGCTCGTTAGGGTCTACCCGCCCAATCTGCCCGTTGCTGCCCTCGGTGGCCCCTTTGCTGCCCTTTGTGGCCGCATATACGTGTGCCCTCCGTGGCCCCCGCTCGCCCGCGCCCTTCGTGGCCCCCTTGCTGCCCTTCGTGGCCCCGCTGCTGCCCTTTGTGGCCCCGCTGCTGTCCTTCGTGGCCCCGTTGTTGTCCTCAGTGGCCCCTTTGCTGCCCAGTGTGGCCCCAGATGCGTGTGCCATTCGTGGCCTCTGCTCGCCCGTGCCCTTCGTGGCCCCGATGTCGCCCTTTGTGACCCCGCTGCTGCCCTTCGTGGCCCCGTTGCTGTCCTCAGCAGCAGCCCTTTTGCTGCCCTTCGTGGCCCCATATGCGTGTGCCCTTTTCGTGGCCCCCGCTCGCTCGCGCCCTTCGTGGCCCTGTCGCTGCCGTCAGCGGCCCAGTCGTTGCCCTTTGTGGCCCTGTATACGTATGCCCTCTGTGGCCCCCGCTCGCCCGCGCCCTTCGTGCTTCCCTCGCTGCTCTTCGTGGCCCCGCTGTCGCCCTTCGTGGCCTCCTCGCTGCCCTTCGTGGCCTCGTTGCTGCACTGTGCGGCCCCATATACGTATGCCCTTCGTGACCCTCGCTCGCCCGCGCCCCTCGTGGCCTCCTTGCTGCTCTTTGTGGCCCCGCTGTCGCCCTTCGTGGCCCCTTTGCTGCCCTTCGTGGCCCCCTTGTTGCCCTCAGTGGCCCCGCCGTTGCCCTTCGTGCCCCACTG